AAAGAAATGAGGACAGTTGAAGAAACCTCTGGGACAACATCAAATACACTAATATTAGTATTACCATCTCAGAAGGAGAAGAGAAAGAGAAAGGGGCTGATAATATATTTGAAGATATAATAGCTGAAAACTTTCCTAACATGGGAAAGGAAATAGTCCAGAGAGTCCAGGAAGTATAGAAAGTCAAATATAGGATTAACCCAAAGAGTAATGCACCAAAACACATTGTAATTAAAATGACAAAAAGAAAAAGAAAATATAAAAAGCAGCAGGGAAAGGCAACAAATGACATACCAGGCCATCAAATTAAAAGATACTTGTTCCTTGGAAGGAAAGCTATGACAAACCTAAACAGCATATTTAAAAAACAGAGACATCACTTTGCTGACAAATGTCTGTATAGTCAAACTATGGTTTTTCCAGTAGTCATGTATAAATGGGAGAGTTGGACCATAAAGAAGGCTAAATACTGAAAAATTGATACTTTCGAATTGTGGTGCTGGAGAAGACTCTTGAGAGTTCCTTGGACTGCAAGGAGATCAAACCAGTCAATCCTAAAGGAAATCAGTCCTGAATATTCATTGGAAGGACTGATGCTGAAGTTGAAGCTCCATACTCTGGACACCTGATGTAAAGAGCTGACTCGATGGAAAAGACCCTAATGGTGGGAAAGACTGAAGGCAAAAGGAGAAGAGGGCAGCAGAGGATGACACGATTAGATAGCATCACCAATTCAATAGACATGAATTTGAGCAAACTCTGGGAGATAGTGGAGGACAGAACAGCCTGGCTTGCTACAGTCCATGGAGTTGCAAAGAGTTGAACATGACTTAGCAACTGAATGACAACAAACATAGAAGAAACTCTCATAAGGCTATCAGCTGACTTTTCAGCAGAAACTCTGCAGGCCAGAAAGCAGTGGCATGATTTATTTAAAGTGATAACCCTATATGCAAAACAGAAAAAGAGACTCAGATGTATAGAACAGACTTGTGGACTCTGGGAGAAGGAGAGGGTGGGATGTTTCAAGAGAACAGCATTGAAACATGTATATTATCTAGGGTGAAACAGATCACCAGCCCAGGTTGGGTGCATGAGACAAGTGCTCGGGCCTGGTGCACTGGGAAGACCCAGAGGGATCGGGTGGAGAGGGAGGTGGGAGGGGGGACCGGGATGGGGAATACATGTAAATCCATGGCTAATTCATTTCAATGTATGACAAAAACTACTGTAATGATGTAAAGTAATTAGCCTCCAACTAATAAAAATAAATGGAAAAAAAATTTGGAAACAAACAAACAAACAAAAAAATAAAGTGATGAAAGAGAAGAAAAATCTATAGCCAAGAATACTCTACCCAGAAAAGTTCTTTTTCAAACTTGATGGATAAATTGAAATTTTTACAGAAAAGCAAAATTAAAAGAATTCAGCACCACCAATTCAGCCTGTTTTACAACAAATGGTAAAGGAAATAGTCTAGGTGAAAAAGACAAGGCCATGACTAGAAACAATAAAATTACCAAATGAAAAGTTTGTCAATAACACAATAATAGTAACACCTCACTTACATCAATGGACAGATGATCCAGATGAAAAATCAAACTGGAAACATTGGCCTTAAATGGCCCATTAGACCAGATCCATCTGAAAGCACTCTTAAGTGCACATGGAATATTCTCCAGGATAGGTCACATGCTAGGCTATAAAACAGGTCTTAGTAAATTTAAGAAAATTGAAATCACTTCAAGCATCTTTTTGGACCACAATACTTTGAGACTAGAAATCAACTACAGACAAAAAAACTACAAAAAACCACAAACACGTGGAGACTAAACAATATGTTACTAAACGATTAGTGGATCACTAAGTACTGAGTTTCAAACTGATAAGGCTACATCACACTTGACTATGGTTGAATTTTCAATAAAAATTTAAAAAATTAAATTATTTTGTCATATTATTCTATCATACATCGTTGTTTATTGGCACTTAATAAAGTACTATGCCAAATACTTTGTATACAGGTTCATGTCTATATACACAAAATCTGAGTAAGCAGCAGCTTCAATTTTCAGATGAAGAAATTAAGGTTTTAAAATGGTAAGTATCTTCCAAGATAACACAACTAGTAAGTAGAAGTGCTAGGATCTAGACACAACTCTTTTGCAACCAAAATGTATGTTTCTAATCCCTCCATATTTCCCTGATGCATACATTTGCTTAATAATTTATTTAATCATTGTAACTTTATTAGGATTTTATTCTAGTAAATATTCCTGATCATAATAGGAAATATTATTTTCTATTTAAATTATTACATAAGTATACACAGCAATTATGGATCTCTTTCTTCTCTGATGTAGGATGTTATAAGGAAGAATAAGATTTTTTTTGTAGAGACAGAATGCCTGTGCCTGAAGGTAATTAGGCCCCTACCATCTTTATAAACTTGCCAAGTTATCTAAACTGCCCGGGGCTGCTTCCTTATTGATGTGTCATTTATGACATCAACTTCAGCTAAAATACAAGATACCACTATGAAACCACTGGGAACTATACACATAGTCTTCGACCAGATACATTTTTAGGAGGTACAAATGTGCCCAGTCAAGCTATATTTTACTATTTGGAGAGCACTTTCAAAAAATTGAAAACATAAGAACATTGATAATTTTATTTGTAGAATTTCATATGAGAGAGTGACTATCTTAGAATTTTTTAAAAATGACACTCCCAGGCTCTTTGGATCCCAGTTCTCTAGCTTACTGCATTTATATGAAGATAATATTCCAGGGTCTTATAAATATAAGAGAAAGTATGTGCAAGAATACAAGAAATCCTCAAGAACTGATATGCTCATTCATACACACAATTCTACTTAATATTAATATTCTGTTTTATAACAGAAAAATCATTATTTAAAGACAAAAATTAATGAATATGTTCATGGGATTTCCCAGGCTAGAACACTGGAGTGGGTTGCAATTTTCTTCTCCAAGAAAGAAGAATAAGCCTCTCAAAATTGTTTTTAAAATGTGTCATGGGATTGTTTTCAGGGAAAAGTCCTTTTTCTTTGTTTTTATATAATAAAATACTTATAAATGTTTTCTTACTTTTCCATGCAGCCTAACATAAGAGGAATAACTGTAAGTTGTAAATGAGCTCCATGGCACACATGGGGCCACCACAGCTTCCCTTTGCCTTTTCTTTTTGCCTGGTCTATAAAGAGACTAACTTGGAACTGAGTATCTATCAGCAGCTCTTGAAATGACAGGATTAAGAAATTTTAGAATTTTCCAAGTTTCCTTGGAATCTACTTTCCAAATTTAGTTTGGATTCAAGTTCCTCCATTAAAATTAAGGATCTTAAAGAAATCAAGGCATTTATTTTAAACTCTGTATTTTCTTGATCAAATCTCCCATATAATAAATGTCAAAGCACATAAGTAGGTGGTTGGTTGGTTTGAATATTACAACAAGGGTTAGCCAAATGTACATTGGCTGATATCGGCAACAGAATAGTGATTTCAGTTATAAAGTAGATAAGACTCATTAACAATTATGTTATAAGGAGACAATAATAGTAAACATAAGGAACAATAATGCCAAAATGGTAAGAGTTAGAAGGTATAGCATTAAAATAAACTTGTTGGTAGCAAATCTGTTACACACTTTCTGCTGATACTGATTGTTGGAGTGATATTGTGAGTCATATTTTATATGAACATGATTAATGATGTAAGAGAGTAGAATCAATATTATGCTCTGATTTAGAAACCTCAGAATGGCAAAAATGTGTTTTAGCAAATCTTTCAGGTAATTCTGATACATGTTAGTGTTGACAAAATCTGCCTTAGACTGCAACAACTTCTATAAAATCACAAAGTCAAATACTAAAAAAAGATAAGTAGTTGCATTAAAGCTCTTATTTTCCTTCTAAAGATTATCTTCTTAGGATACTAGCAGGTATTATTGTTGACCAGACTGTTTCTTGATCTTCACGTGGGATATTTGCCTGTAATTTGTGAAGAAGCAGACCATCCTAGAGTTGAAAGGGATGCTCAATAAGCTGACAGGTATATAATTGTGAACAAATAAAATCACTGACATATTTTCAAGTTGAGGCATATTAGAAGTTCCATTTCTTCTTGGATATATCATAGAATGCTGGGACTAGTGTTACTCTACCCTACCTGTGCAAAGAGCCAACTCATTAGAAAAGACCCTAATTTGGGGAAAGATTGAAGAGGAGGACATCAAGCTGTATATTGTCACTCTGCTTACTTAACTTATATGCAGAGTACATCATGAGAAATGCTAGGCTAGAAGAAGCACAAGCTGGAATCAAGATTGCTGGGAGAAATATCAATAACCTCAGATATGCAGATGACACNTTGGTGATGGACAGGGAGGCCTGGTGTGCTGCGATTCATGGGGTCGCAAAGAGTCGGACACAACTGAGCGACTGAACTGAACTGAACTGAAGAGGAGAAGGGGATGACAGAGAATGAGATGGTTGGATGGCATCACTAACTCAATGGACATGAGTTTGAGCAAGCTCCGAGAGACAGTGAAGGACAGGGTAGCCTGGTGTGCTGCAGTCCATGGGGCCAAAACTGTCAGACATGACTCAGCAACTGAACAACAACAACCTTACCAGAAAAACCTATGTAAACAAAATCACAACTTTGCTGAGCATGTCAAAGAGCCAAAGTCACTAGTCAAACACATAATATCAGTCCACTCACTCTCAGGCCCTGTCAAGGAAAGATGAGACACATGCATCTGCTCACTGGTGACAAGACAGTTAGGGTGCCTTTAAGTAAGTTAGACGCATTTAGCTACAATTGTGATGTACTGTAAAGGTCAGGTGTGGAGTCGGATGCAATATCCTAAGAACTGTAGACACAGGAGTTTTTACACACGTGCATGCTCTTCCCTATGGACCTCAATCTCCTGCTCATGAGAAAGATGTGGGAAGAGCAGGAGACAGACAAGTACCTTCCTTGCTATTTCAGGCTTGGATGGGAAAGTGGTTACTTCTGGGAGAAAAGCATGAAGTTCTGTTGCAACCCTTCTGTGGAAAATGAAATAAGCTTCTGGGGGAGGAGTTGAAAACCTGTCACCACCAGGGCAAACATGTAGACTCCCTGTAGAAAAGTGAAAAACACATGAACAAATAAAACTTGGGAAGTCTTGGACCCAAGAGCCTACTCCAATAATACCAGAGACCTTCTAACACATAGGAGAGGTAAAAAACAAACAAACAAAAAGACTCTCTCACAGAAGATCAGCCAGAGATATGAGATGCAGTTTGGCTGTCAGGAAGAGAAGAGGCAAGACCACTGGGAAATGATATTTCTAACACCTAAAAATAGATCCTGTCTGAGGTGGAGAACCCCTTTCTCTCACCACCAGACTACCAAGTACCAAGAAGCATGTAAGTGCAGTCTTTCACTGGTTGGCTGAAAATAGTCTGAAGAGGTATACAGTTGTGGTAGACATGAATGAGGATGCTAAAGCTAAAGATGAAATATTGAGAAAATGTGTCTGAAAATTCAGCCTCCAAGTTAAAACAAAGGAATTAAAAGCCAATGGTCCACTGAAGGTAATCGTAGGATAAAGAAACCCCAAGCTCAGCTGATTACTGACTATATTCACTCAGCAATATCCCTTCCCATATACACATATTCACTAACAGCCTAACACAGCCTGAGCTGTGTCCATTTCCAGATATAAAGTCTCTACTGTTAAGTATGTAATGCTTACTTAGCTGCTCAATCATGTCTGACTCTTTCTGACCCCATGGACTGTAGCCTGCCAGGCTCCTGTCTGTGGGATTTTCCAGACAAGACTACTGGAGTGGGTTGCCATATTCCTCCTCCAGGGGATCTTTCCAACCGAGGAACGGAAACCACATCTCCTGTGTCTCCTGCATTGCAGGTGGATTCTTACCTGCTGAGCCATTGGGGAAGCCCCCTAAAAACATATTATCTGATGATTAATAAAAAATCACAGTACACACAAAAAAGCAAGGAAAAAAACACAGTGTTAAGACAGAAAACAATCATCAGAACAGACTCAAACATGACCGCTATGTTTAATCTATCAAATGAGAAATTTCAGCAGAGAGAGGGTATTATAAATTGAATTGTGCCTCTATGCCAAGTTCATACATTGAAGCCCTAATCCCAATGAGGTCATAAGGGTGATGCCTAATCCCACAGGGCTAATGTTCTTAAAAGCAGAGGACAGACACCAGCACCCACTTTCTTTCTCTGTCTCTCTTTTGTTCTCTCCACACACATACACACAGATGCAATGCTATGTGAGGGCACAGTGATAAAGCAATCATCTGCAAGTGAAGAATAGAGGCCCCAGCAGACGCCAATCCCCACAGCACCCTGATCTCGAAAGCCTAGCCTCCAGATCTGTGAGAAAATATATTTTTGTTGTTTTAGACATTCAGTTTGTGATATTTTGTTATGGCAACCTAAGCAGACCAACACCCATTGCAATTCTATTAGTGAATCAAATGGAAATGCTAGAAATTAAAAAAAGAGAGATAAAGTATACCTTTGACAAACTCATCAGTAGACTGAAGACAGTTGAATAGACAATCACTGAAATTTAAGATTCGTCTCTAGAAATTACTCAAACTCAGAAAGAGTGGCAAAAAATAACAGAATTCAAGAGTTATGGGATAATATGAAACAATCTCACATATGTGTAAATGAATCCCAGAAGGAGAGAAATAATAAAGCAGGAGAATGGTGAAATAATGAGCAAGGGTTTTCAAAAATTCATGACAGATATCACAATACAGAGAAATTTAGAGACTTCTCAGAAGGACAAATTACTACACAGACAGACAACACTCCTAGATATACTACATTCAAACTGCTGATAAAAAAAAAATGTTGAAGGTAGACATTAGAAAAAAAAACCACAGAAATAAAATTAAGATTTACCACAGACATTAAAAACCACCAAGAATAGTAAATAAAAGAGTCCAAAATTTAACATGCAGATGGCGCTAGTGGTAAAGAATGGGTCAGGAAGATCCACTGGAGAAAGAAATGGCAACTCACTGCAGTATTCCTGCCTGAGAAATCCCATGAAGAGAGGAGCCTGTCAGGCTGTGGTCCATGGGGTCACATAAGAGTTGGGTACAACTGCGTGACTGAACATACATATTTAACATGCCATCTTAGAATTTTATACCCAAAGAAAATATCTTCAAAAAATGAAAATTCATAGACATACTCTATACAAAATACAAAAAGAAATTATTCAGGGAAAATAAATGATACAAATCAAAACTTGGATCTACATACAAACACACAAAAAAATCTTCAGGAAAATCCATTTTCTCAACTCCCTTAGCTACTGCACTGATCAATGCAGCTTCTGTATCTCAGTCCATAAGCATCAGTGTTCCTCTGAACCAGGACCTTGAACAGGACTGTAAAGCAATCAAGTTCCTACAGTGCTGTTATTTTAGCCCCTAGTATCATTACAAAGAGTGGCTGAAATTAACTGATGTCTTTGTCTAGAAAGTCATTTATTGATGTTTTACAAGTATGGTGATTGCAAAGAACTCCATAGTAGGAATATGAATGTCTCGATGACAGTCTCTAATATTATTATTATTCTTATGCTGCACGTGAATAAGATACCTTTATTGGGGGAAAAAAAAAAAAAAACCTCACTGAAGGAAAGGGTTCAAACAGAACTTTAAAATTAACTTCATGACTGGATCTGCCCACTAAGCTCTATGGACTTGTAGCCTCATTCCCGAGACAATTTCTTTTTCTTTATTATGGTTCTTGTTAGATTGTCCTGAGCCTTGCTAGTTGGCATTCTTTCCTGCTTTTGATAATAGCATAGTGCAGAAAATTGTCAAAATTTCTATATTCTATGATTCTGTTTATTTAAATTATACTCTTCAAGTATTCTGTAGCCTATTATGAAATATAAGATGTACTATCAGATGACCAGGCTCAAAGAATACAAGAGAGAAGATGAACATTACATTCATTTTTGAATTTGGAAGAAGTCTGATGATATCTGTACTAGTCTAAACAGGACAGCTACATTATGTAAAAATAATACTCCAGAAATCACAAGACAGAGGAGGAGCCAAGATGGCGGAGGAATAGGACGGGGAGACCACTTTCTCTCCTACAAATTCATCGAAAGAACATTTGAACGCTGAGCAAATTTCACAAAACAACTTCTGATCGCTAGCAGAGGACATCAGGCGCCCAGAAAAGCAGCCCATTGTCTTCGAAGGGAGGTAGGACAAAATATAAANGCCTATGAGAAAATAATTATTTTTAACTGCTGGATTTGTAAGCTCAAAATTTAGCAGAGTAACATTATTGATAATCAAAGGTATCAACTCTTGGTACTGCAAAACATTTAATGCAACGTCACAACAAATATCAATGGACTGTGACATTTTCAATTATTTTTCCTTTTAACATAAACATCATTTATAGTTAACTAGGATCACTAAGCCACTTTATGAAACATATCTTTACATTTTTTCTCTCCCTTTGTTAAAGTACACACTTGAATATCCAAATTATAATTTTAGCTGCTAAAGTAAATTTTTTGTAATTTCAGCAAAGTAAGATGAAACACTGAGGGGAAAACATCTCATTCAATTAATATGCAATTTCTTTTAGATTTTACACAGTTTAAATAACTTCATCTTGGGGGAGGGCATCCAATATTGCTAGTGAGTGTGTGCACTGTTGCTTCAGCTTTGTATGACTCTTTGTGACCCTATGGATTATAGCCTGCCAAGGCTCCTCTGTTCATGTGATTCTTCAGGCAAGAATACTAGAGGAGGTTGTCATGTCCTTTTCCAGGGCATCTTCCTGACTCAGAGGTTGAAACTGCATCTCCTGCAGCTCTGGCATTGGCAGGCGGACTGTTTACTGTTGAGCCGCTGGAGAAGACACAACATTTCTAATACCAAACTTCAAAAACAAGTAATACTGTGTCTTCAAATTGTGTTCTAACTATATAATTTATGAAGTGTCATGCTGTGTATCCTGTGTAGACTGGAAATTATCTGCTGTATATTGTGTCACCCATTCTAAAATATAATTAATTCTCTGAAAATTTCTAAGAAATCTCAAGGGAAACACTTTACTATATGAACAAAACACTTGTTAAATAGTAGTGCTGCACAATAAGGGTAAAATGACTGCACTTCTGTGCTGCTGGCTCCTGCCTGCCTTCTAAACCCTTGCCTTAACTGCGCCAGCTTTCCACAGGGAACTGGATTTGTAACCAAGAAATGCAACAACAACAAAGGAGTGAAGTTTAGCTCGTTTTAAACAACATAGGTTCATACAGCAAGACGTAAAGTATGGGTGCTGTCTTAATAAGGGTTTTCTAAGTTCCATTACCCCTGTCCTTGCCTTGCTCATGTGAAATGTGGAATCTGCCAGATCTGGCAATAGCCTGTAAGACAAAGCCAAGAGGCTTGCTGCTGAAGTGTATAAGGTGCTGAGTATCACAGCAGTAGTGAAACAAAACCCAGCCTCTTTACTGACAGAAAAGAGGAGCATCATTAGGCGTGCTGGATACACTTCTACATAAAAGAAGCTTCCTAGAAAGTCCTTTCTTGAACATATTTATCATAAAGAGAGACTTTGGATATCTAAATTTATTTGCTACCTGTGAGTCACTACATGCATACTCTGCAAAAACTTTTTTTTCTAAATTATTTTCCACATCTCAAAATAACTGGGTCTAGTCCCCAGCCTATTGATTTAATAGAATTCTTTACCAAGTTTCACACATCAGAATCTCATTGGTTTATACATGAAAGTAAAAAGAGGAAAAAAATCTTGCCTATAATTCTGTGCAACATCATTAATTTAGTGAAATAGAGGGGAAAAAATGTGACATGACCATATTTGAATGAAACTAATGGAATGTGGGTCAATTCAGGGTATTCTGTAGGATTCAAATGTGCATACAAAGAATTGCTATGTAATTGTGGTTTTAGTTAGGCACCTATCACTCTACCTGTGCTAATGACTAGTTATAAACCTGTCTCAGTAATAAATTCAAGTTAAATAGAAAACTTTATTTTATTTTTAAACAAAATAGAAATAAGGAAGAAATAAAAGAAGGAAGAATTAAGATCTTTTCCCCATATAGCTCATATTGGCTGAGGAGATGAAGATAACTGTCTTTATAAAACCTTGGAATATAGTAAGAATGTAGGACCAAAACCTGATAGGCTAATACTGTGATACTAAGATGTTTTTATGTGTGTGTGCTGGGGAGGGGGGGTGGGAAACCATGGCTTAAAACTCTAAATGGCACAGTATTTTCAAATGTCTTTTTTATGGTAGGCATTTGACTTTGAAACACCTGGTATTTAAAGTGACAGCATTCATGCAGCACGTATACAAGATATGTTGGGGAGGGAAATTAAACCAAATGCAAAGCATTTAGCAGCAGTTTAAATATGGAGATAGGTATGAGGCCTGTTATATGAAGACTGGAGGATAATGCAGTGCTTTCCTGGTTGCCAGACATCATCACGGCAGCCCCTGCATCTGTTATACAGTTATTCTAATGACACCTATGCATGATGTGCAGAACCTTGAGGTAATACAAAGTTTCCAATAGTGTGACTTGGATCTTCGAACACTGGGTGTATTTTTATTTTTGACATTTGAACAGTTAACAATTACTACTCACTGATATGATTAACTCTACCTGGAAGCAATGCTTTACCCAAACTGCATGAAGTTCTAGATATCATCAGAAAAAAATGACCTTTCTTTCATACCTTCCTTGCAATCATGCTTATTTTCATGCAGCACAAATCCATTTCGGCACTGACACAGGTAGCTTCCCATTGTGTTGACACACTCATGTTGACACCCGCCATTATCCTTAGAACACTCATCTTTGTCTAGCAAAGAGATAACCCCATAGATTAGTAAGTAACTTTAAAAATGAAAGATATCAAAGGAGAGTCATTTAGTTGTAGTTAATATTGGCAAAGGGTAAACTAAGTCACAGCTCTCCCTGTCCCCAAAATAAAGCAAAACAAACAAAATTATAGTGACTTAGTTCTACCTAGTCCTTGTTTAGCTTGGAGCCTTGTGCCATGAATTGAATTTCCGAGATCACTTACATTGGATTACAACATGTAGGCCTCTTTCATTCCTCTATTGGAGAAGTTCTGAGTACGGCAGAGGAAATAAAAGAATATTTTTCCAGGGATGGGGGATACATGTAAATCCATGGCTAATTCATGTCAGTGTATGACAAAAACCACTACAATATTATAAAGTAATTAGCCTCCAACTAATAAAAATAAATGAAAAAAAAATATTTTTCCAAATAATCTTAAAAATTTATTGTCAATTTTTAAAATCAATTAAAAATTGTGAATAATTTGAATAAATGCAAATAGGGGCATATAAATGGAGGGAAATCCTTCACTATGGCATATAGACAGAGGCTAAACAAGGTTCCAAGATTTGTGTGCAATCATTTTTAAAAACCACTCATTGTAACTACTGTAGCTGATTTTTTTTCATTAACTTTGCAGTTATGCTTAACATTAATAAATCTGGATATTTTATAAGATTTCAAGACAGAAAAAGGCATCATTAGATTATCCTGAAGAAGAAACAATTAATATATTTTAAATTAATCTACTCAAGCAAACCAGTTAATTAATAAGTAATTCCATAAAAGAGCTTTTAGTGTGCTTGAAGTAAAGGTTAGGATAGGAAAGATGAGTTCTAAGAAATAACCAACAAATTTACTACAGGGAAAAAAATCCTAACTCTATTAGCAGGCAATCAATTCAGTGAGAGGCATCAGCCACCATATTACATTGCTTAGCAGTCATTCCATGAATGGCTTGTCCATTAAAGTCAAAATTGGCCTCTGCTCTTGACATATACATATGATGGTTCTTCACTCAGACCTTCCCCACTCCCATAGCACAGAGAACAAAAAGGACATATGACAGTCACATCATAGATTAGGCTGAATTCAAAAGTTACACTGTCAACTGATATTTCTAGTGAGGGTTTGTGAGCTCATGGTGGCGCACAAATAGCAAATGCTATTTTTGCTTGTTTTAATCAAATCAGTATTCCCCCTATGGAGATGGGTGTAGGAAAGGCATTTTATCCAAGGATCTGATACTAATATTTGTGAATACGTTTATTTTTTCCCATTTTGGTGACTGATAACACGACAGCACATGCATGCTCCTGGGATATATTCATGCATTGGCAACATCAGAATATACACACAGGCAGTCCTGAAATTTTTAAGAACATATCAGGATCAATATATCTGCAATTTATGTGTCCTCTATTTGTCCTTAAGACTTCCGTAATATTTTTAATAGATAATATTGAAGCTAAGCAAATAAGAAAAAAAAACATAGAATAAAGAAAATTTATCTCTAAAGCAGCATCAAATATTAAAGTGAATAAGAAATCAGAAATTAATAGTAGCCTTGCAAGATTAATTTTCAAGAAGTTCATAATTTGGAAGGACTATTACCTTAATTGTGAAAACTACAGGTGATAATTTGTGAATGACCCATGCAGAAAGGAAGAGTGGTGGACTAGACTCCCTACTACCATGTTCTCAGCTACCATATTTCCTAATTCAGACAATCAATCAGCAGATGATTTACATTTCTTATTTTAATATACCTTTCCAGGGGCTGTTTACTTAAGATGCTTTGGAAAAATACTTCTTTATGAGTTGATGCCAAATACACTGCATCACTGTAAATGGAAAGAGTCAATTAAAAATTTTCTGGTGCTAGAATTACTCTGAAATAGATACATATTTCTTATAAAATATATATCTAATGATGGTTTGATAGTCTTAAAATCTGATATAGTGAACTATATCTGGTTGTACTCTAGGTCAACCAGATTTTTGAGAGTTGGTTCGAAATCTAACAATTGTAAGTATTTTACTTTTAAGAAATTAGTTTACATTTGCAATTGACTGGTAAACAGGTTGCTCAGTGACAATCTATCAGAGCAGGGACCACCTGAGTCATCCCTTCATTTGGACCTGTTAGACTGCCATGAATGAGAGAGAAAAAATGTTAAAAAAGAACAGGTTAATATGCTAAATTTTTCAACTCAGTCATTTTATAATGAAAATAATTCCAAAACATAAAATATTTCTCACATTTAAAGTTCATTGTAGTAGAAATATCATGCTACGTGATATTTCTAAGGAGAATTATTTTCTTTAGATTTGATAGAACAAAATCTGATTTGTGGTAATGCTCAGTGCAGAGAAATAAAGTTGAAAGTGAAACAAATCACATTTGAATAAGTTTTTGTAGCCAGTTTTTCGTATTTCTGTTGTGCTGGAAAAATAATAATAATTTAAAAAATAATTTTTAGAGGAGGAATAAGAAAATGAGGAACAAGAGGGAGAAGAAGATTTTATATATCATACTAAGTATTTTATTATTTTTCAGTTTCCCAATTAATTAATGTTTTCTTCTTCCTTACATCAAACATTGCTTAATATAATCAATGTCACATGAAATTAAGAGTTATCAAATATATTGCTAGAATATATGTGTAAGCTGATCTAAACTAAATTAAAATTCAAAACTGGGCAAAAAAGCAGCATATAAAAGTCATAATGCCCAGCAAAGCAGTGTATAAAACTGCCCACACATGCCAAATAGTCAATATGAAAAGAGAAAATTTCAGTAAACATTGGAATACTTGAAATTATCCAGACTTTTTACATCATGCAGGCAAAGAAAGCTATTTATTTAACTTAATGTCATTAAAGATGAGTTACACAAATATATTCTTAATTTCTTATAAAAATCATCAAATTTGAGGGAAAAGCAGTAGCAAATATAATTCTGTTTTCATTTTCTTTCCTTTTTATCTTCTTAGGACACAAACTACAAATATTTTGAACAACGAAAATCCAAAGGAAAAGAAAAGGAAGGAGGATGTGGAGTTTTAAAAATTTCTCAGACTGTCTGTGTAATGAATTCAATAATTGATAATTCTGTCAATGATTCATTTGAAATTTTCTAGCATTTTCATACTGTCAACATGGGATTTTAAGAACTGTTTTTATTAAAGAGAAATAAATGTCTTATTGAGTAGAAATCAAAACATTTAATTTTTCAGAGGGCAATTAGCCTCCTTCTTTGGAATGGACATATCTGATTTCCATTCCTTCATGTTAGATGAAGGAAAGGTCCATTATTAGGGGAAAAGCATATGGCATTTTCCCATCAGAGGCCTGCAGAGTATCTCTGAGACTATCAGAGACCATCAGTCTATGAATAATACATACTGGATGAAACTGAAGTGGCAACCTGTATCAAGTTCTTGCAAGAATCAAAAATAAAAAATTTTCTCTTTGCAGAAAGCTTCCATGTCTGTAGAAAAAAGAAGTAAAGGGTCCCCGCACCAGAACAGAACAATATATGAGAAGAACACTTACAATAAATGCTCAGATATAAAACAAACATCTTACACACTCATGCACACACACATACACAATATATCTCATGCATGTGTGCATGCATACAAGACACACAGTTTTCAACACAAAACTGTTGAAAAAATAATCACCTTCAAATGAGCTCTGATAAGCTCTATTGAGAGCAACAACTCAGACAATTTGCTCTTTCTAAAATATGCAAATATTTAAATATCATTAATCATGAAACTTGGAACTAGATTCAGAATCATAAAAGAGCTTTAATTGTGTTACTACGTGAAATTAATCACACTAATATTTAAAGTTTTGTTAGGATAATATCAGGTTGAACTTATTCTATAAATATCTATGACTTCCCTATGAGAAAAAAAAAAATGGTGTGTAGGAGAAACAGCGTAAAGAAATATCTCTAAACATTGAAAGGTGGATAAGAGCAGTTGAAATCACTTGAATATAAAGGAAGAAAAATCACACATATCATTTTATCTGACTCCTATATTTGTTACAGACATAAATGAACTCAGAGTCAAGAAATCTGGGCTTTAATGAGCTTATCCGTTAAGTCATCATTGCATCATTTTACCATTACAGGGTTGCCTAAAGAAGGTGGAAGGTCTATGTTCATCTCTCATTGCCTGGAGATATTTGTTATATTATTTCCAAATAGTGAACACTGCGATTAAATTAAAACTAAGTTTCCCAAATGTTATTTTTACATGCATAAAATCCTACTAACATTTCCTTTAAGTTTAACCTATGTAAGGAAAAATAATTGTGTTATTAGTAGAATACAGTTAATTTTGCTTAATCACTTAAAGTAAGTAAACTATAACAAGTACACCTATGCAGATTTGCATACTTGTATTCAAATACAATATCATATAAAATTAACTTAGGCTTTACTTCATATAAAGTAATTATTGTTCATTTAAAAACAAACCTCATTCATTCATAGAAAACAACAGTAATATATTATTAAACCAGCTATCTTCTAGAAAATATTTATATTAGACATTTTTGTCTCATATACCTAATTACATGAAAATTTAATAGATACATAATTCAATACCATGTTCAAATGACCTTATTTTATAGTCATAATTTTCTTATTTACTTGTACTATTTCGTTATATTGCTTTATAACACACCCTTAATATCAGAAGTATATAACAGTAATTATTGTAGAGGAGATAATGAATATTCTGCTGTATAAAACAATAACTTCTAAATTTTCAAACTATAGCATGCCTATTTTAAGACATTAGGAATTTATGCAATGATTTCTTACTTTGCTGAACATGAAAGTGATAGAAATCTGTATTAATTATTTTGCTAATAAGTTCTTAGAGTCATTCTTCTAATTCCATTTCTTAGGTCTATAAAGTGCTTTTTGAAAATCAAAGGTATGTACAGACATTAGTAAAATTTCAACATGATTACTTCATTAAATAATCATTATATTTTAAAAATAATGCTATAGTTTAATTTCATTTTGTTCATTAAAAATCTAAGTATATTTCCTTGTGTTTTTTCTTTCTTGATGAATCACTTAGTTGCAAGAAAGCTAGAACATATTTTTAAATAGCTTTCCTTATAATATGAGTTCACTTATAATAAATACTGTTTCTTTTTAAATTGAATTTCTTGATAAAATTTCTGGGGAAAGTTATGTGGAAAAATAGCTAAACATACTTCTTATTATGTTTTCATAAATAAATCATAACCACTTCTGAACTTTTTAGAGAACTGGTTATAAACAGAACCAATTAAGATTAAGTCTCCATAAAATATTTCTGGATTAACATACACAATGCAGCAAATATTTATTCAATTGCCTATAACATGTTCCAAACTAATTATAAAAATAAAAATTAGAAAATTTAACTCAATTAAAAACACACATTAATATTATTAACTTGTATTAATATTTATTAAGTAATCAATAGATGGATTTAAGGTTTCACAAGTTTCAAAATAATGTTTTTAAGAGGAATAATTTGAAATTGGGTAATTTAGGGAATTTCACTGATGTTTATTTATTTCCTTAAAATTTAGGGACTTTTAATCAAATTTCAGCTCTTTAAGAGGGAATTTTTAATGTGAATTGGTTAAGTGTAAGTCACTGAGTTATGTCCAACTCTTTGAGACCCCATGTACTGTAACCCACCAGGCTCCTCTGTCCATGGGATTCTCCAGGCAAGAATACTGGAGTGGGTTGCCATTTCCTTCTCCAGATCATTAACCTTATCCACTTCCAAAGTCATTGTATGAAAATATTGCCATAATTTTGTGTTGTTTTTACTAGTGTTTGAAATATCTGATTATAATGTATATAAGATCTAAGTCAGCAAATTTGGAAAACTCAGCAGTGGCCACAGGACTGGAAAAGGTCAGCTTTCATTCCAATCCCAAAGAAAGGCAATGACAAAGAATGCTCAAACTATCACACAGTTGCACTCATCTCACACGCTAGCAAAGTAATGCTCAAAATTCTCCAAGCCAGGCTTCAGCAATACGTGAACCGTGAAATTCCAGATGTTCAAGCTGGTTTTAGAAAAGGCAGAGGAACCAGAGATCAAATCACCAACATCTGCTGGATCNCCGAAAAATGGATGCTTTTGAACTGTTGTGTTGGAGAAGACTCTTGAGAGTCCCTTGGACCACAAGGAGATCCAACCAGTCCATCCTAAAGGAGATCAGTCCTGTGTGTTCATTGGAAGGACTGATGCTGAAACTGAAACTCCAATACTTGATGGCCACCTGATGAGAAGAGCTGACTCACTGGAAAGGACCCTGATGCTGGGAAAGATAGAGGGCAGAAGGAGAAGGGGATGACAGACGATGAGATGGTTGGATGGCATCACCGACTCAATGGACATGCGTTTGGGTGGACTCTGAGAGTTGGTGATGGATGGGGAAGCCTGGTATCCTGCAGTTCATGGGGTCACAAAGAGTCAGACATGATTAAGCAACTGAACTGAACTGAAGATCTAAGTAGTTGAGCATTGCATTTCATAGGGCCATTATTATTAATATCTTAACTTTAAGTAAAAAATTATTAAACTGGGATAAATGTTCATGGATTCAGTGTACCTCCAAGCTCATTTATAGAAAGCTATGAAGAATGGATACCATACAATTTAAGCCAATCCACCTTGAAAGTCTGTAATATACATGCAACATGAGAATATTGATACCTGAGAAGAAATGTGCTTTGAAGCCCTTCTTGGATACTGTATTGTCAGATTTGAATTCTATTCTCATATTGTTGAATTGGGATGTGATCACTTCAGGCACTTCAGCACCACAATATTTGCCATGTAGTTTAGACTCAGAAGAGAGACCACTCCAAATCTCCACATAATCATACTTGCATACCTAGAAATAAACAGGGTTACTGTAATCACCAAATTTGAAAGCATCAGATAATTGACAGCTATTTTTAAAAAATTTATTGTGTTTTTCCCTTTTCACTCCTGTGGTAGTCAAACTGGATTAACAGGTTCAAAAATGCAGACCTAAGGAAAACTGAGATGAGTTATGAGTATTTGTTTAACAATACGTATGATTTGAACTCTCCACATTACGTGTGCCTTGTAATATGCAACCTAAATTACTGGTTTTTGTTATATTAATTAAGTAATGAATAAACAAACTCTTGCTAGGAAAAATGAAATAAGTTTTCTATCTACTTTGCTACCACTGCAACCTGTATTTAGAGAGAGCTCTGACACAAAAATAGAATAATGTTACTGAGGCTAAAGTTGTTTCCTATTGACTTTTGTTTTGGACATCAATATAATGAATGAAACAATGAAGTGATAACATAATCCAGTATCCTACAAATCAAGATTTTGCTCGTGCCTTTATTTTAAACAACCAAGAATTTGAACTATGAAAATGCACAGAATTTTTTAACAGCATTCCACATAGTGACCTCATCATAAGTTGAAGATTTCCAGGATATGTTGGAGTCTGTAAAGCCTCCTTCCATGAATAAAGACTGCTACCATGAGAAAAATGTCTTCAACCACAATGCACCATTTATTTAAAACCATCTACCTATCTTCCTCCTAAACATAAACTTCTATCCTTTGGAACTTCTACCAATTAGTGAGTCAAAATGCCATTTCTGCCATAATGAACAGCTTCAGGGAAACTCAGAAAGTAGAAGCCATTCAGTATTAATCTCATATTACATCACAGAACTGGTAGGAAGAGTCCCATTTTCAAAACAGTGCTGCTCTTGTGAAAGCTTTTCTAAGATCACTGTAAAAATGCTTTCTTAATTTTAATATTTCCCTAAATTTCAGACAATTATTAAATAAAAATGATGTTTCATGTGGATAAAGTATGTGAGAAAAATAAGTTGCAGTCATTTTTCCATCATAAAACTTATACATGTTGTGAAGAACTCAAAAGGTCCACAAAGGTCGAAAATTGTACAATTCTCTGAAATATCAGTTCATTGCATTTCAGACTTTAGTTTCCTTAAAGGAAACACAAAAGTCTACATTTCTTTTCACCTCAAAGCCAGCTGTTGTTTGTTTATTTGTGAAGTCATGTCCAACTCTTTTTGCGACACCATGGACTATAGCCACTCCAAGCTCCTCTGTCCATGAGATTTCTCAGGCAAGAGTACTGGAGTGGGTTGCCATTTCCTTCTTCAGGGAATTTTCTTGACTCAGGGATCAGACCTGTGTCTCCTGCATTGTCGGGTTAAGTCTTTACCACTGAGCCTCTTGGGAAGTCCCACTTGAAAACCATTAATAAGAGACTAAAAGTGCACACAAATGCCTTGACTACTACAAATGAAAATTTTTTAAAATGATTTAAAAAGTAGGAAAAGTGGGAGGGGCAAAGAAGAAGCAAAGATACACATATAATACAAAATTATGGCATGAAACCCACAAACATCACCAATAATATTGAGAGGGCAACAGGCAGGAAGGCCAGGGGTCTCCAAATGGAGGAAATAGGCTGCAAGTGCCAGAGATTTTTATCTCTCTTAAGGAGCAGGAGGAAACAGCGATATTTTTTTTTCCTTTTCTGTACAAATTTAAAAGGAGGTTTTTCTTAAAATGCTGTGTTGCCATGACCCCTGGTTTCACCTGAAGCTAACTATTCTCAAACCTTGAGTTAACCAGTACATTTTTTCTTATGGAAATGTTTGTCTTAAGCTATGTTAATGTACCCCAGACTGTGTCTTCAAGTTGGTTCAGCCAAATGGCTCAGAACCTACTTGACAAACCAGTCTGTTATACTCAGATATTGTTCCCCTAATCTATGTAAACAAAACTATTTGTATGGTAATCTGCCAAGATTCAAGTCAATCGTTTTATGGCCTGGAATGAATCATCTGGTGCCAAGATTATCCCAAATTGCATCTTATGGATGAGGGGCCTGGTGCCATTCTGAGTTTTAAGACATTCCTTTCTTTTCATTAACAAACTGCGAGTGACTATATAACANTGAAGAATTCCACAGGCCGAATAGTTCATGGGGTGGCAAAGAGTTGGGCACAACTGAGCAACTTTACTTTTACTTTTTCATTTTAAAATAAACTTTTTCATTTTAAAATAAATAAAAAGTTTCCGGGATAAAAGATGTGGAAGTTAGAAAGAGAAAAGGAAACTAAGTACAAAAGCTCAAATGAAACAAACTTTTGTTACATTTTCTCTGGACTTAAAACAATATTGACCTGTCATACAAGACACAGTTCTAAAAGCTGTCATTTCTAGGGCTAACATTCTATTTGAATTTGGTGCCTGTGTACTAGCACATAGGAATTTCAAAGCAAATGATTTCACTTGTTTAAAAGTGATCACCTAACAGAAAACTGGACTTTTACTATGTTAGACTATAAAGGTAAAGAAAGGAACGATAGGGTCAACCAGATGCATCTTTTATTGAGGTTAAAAATTCATCTTTGTGAATCATAAGCATATTCATAATGCAAAACTAGTTATATAATGAAAATATACCCATTTCCACTAGTGAAATATACCAGGTTCTTTCAAAAAGAAACTTTTGTTGTGATTCAACAAGCGAATTTTGGTTTGTTTTTTCTAGAAAAGTCTATGTGTCATGACCACAATGTTTTAATAGTACTTTAAAAAATTAGGAAAATGCTGGGGATTAATATTCAATCTCCTAGAGACAGTCTAAATCATCCAATGTCAACAGGAATTATAAGCAGTTGCAGAAATGAGAAATAGAGCAAAAAAAGACTAGAGTATCTATACTATCATACTTGTTTCTTTTCTTCCTCCCTCCCTCTTTCCTGCCCTCCCTGCTTCCCTGCTTCCCTCCTTCCTTTCCTTCTTTCTTTCCTTTCTCCTTTCCTTTTTAGTTTCCAGATCACCACTGGGGATTCCTAAACACTTTATAAAGACATATTTATTATTCACTTACTTCATTGCCCTCCAATTCAAAAAACTCAAACTTCATAGAAATTTTGTACTGTGTTGGTGCGACCACTTGCCATATACAGTGTTTGTTGGGAGGGTACTCCTTGGGCCATCCTGGAGTGGTTATGGTGCCATTCAGCTTCGTGAGAAGTCCACCACAAGCCGCTGGAAAGAAAGAAAAAGGAAAGTTTCTCCTAATAAATCTATCCCCTTCTTAGCAGCTTTCCACCAATAATCAAACATCTCAGCATTAAATTTCAACCATCTTCTGAATTTTTCAAAATCTAGAAAACTGCAGTCTTTAGTACAACAATTTGAATCATCTATTTCTATTTATAAGTGTTATTTTGCAGGTTTGGAGCCAAGAAACTGGTGGCTGAACTACAAGAAGGTGATGGCTGAACTACAGCATTTTAGGTCCTTTTAAAGTTGGCCGAGCAATATAAAGAAAACTGGGTGTCAGTTTTCTTATTTTTTAAATGGATATAATAATATCTATACCATATGATTGCTGTAAGAATTCATAAAAAGATACAAGCAAAGAACAATACAGCCTATTGTAGTAAGACCAAAATCAATTGCTTATTTCCCCAAACTCTTTCGTTTTTTTTTTTCCAAGACAAGAAACTCTTAGGAAGAGTTAGTTGAGCTAGCAGGCAAGGTAAACTATAGTAAATAGAGCATATTTGTTATTCCCAAAACTCCATTTAACAACTGGCTTTCTTTCCCTTTTGGGTGATCTATTTAAAAGAGGTGCTACAAGAAGATCAAGCCAGTCAATTATAAAGGAAATCAACCCTGAATATTCATTGGAAGGACTGATGCTGAAGCTGAAGTTCCAATACTTTGGCCACCTGATGCAAAGAGCTGACTCATTGGAAAAGACCCTGATGCTGGGAAAGATTGGGGGCAAGAGGAGAAGGGGATGACAGAAGATGAGGTGGTTGGAGGGCATCACTGACTCAATGGACATGAGTTTGAGCAAACTCAAACAGGAGACAGTGAAGGACAGGGAAGCCTGGTGTGTTGCAGTTTGTGGGGTTGCAAGGAATCTGGCATGACTGAGCAACTGAACAACAACAACTATTTATGCTACCTCTCATTCTTACTGATAGTGAGATTAGGAAAATTAGAGTATTTGAAAGCAAGTTAAGTGAAAGGAAGGACTTCCCTCATAGCTCCGTCGGTAAAGAATCTGCCTGCAATGAAGGAGACCTGGTTTAGATTCCTGGGTTGGGAAGATCCCCTGAAGAAGGAAATGGCAACCCAATCCAGTGTTCTCACTTGGAGAATCCCATGGACAGAGGAGCCTGGCAGGCTACAGTCCATGGGATTGCAAGAGTCAGACACGACATAGCGACTAAACCACTACCATCAGTGAAAGGAATGTATTATACACAGTTCCTAATTAATTCCTACGGAGCCAAGAGTTAGCTAAAGTAATTGGTTTCTTTAATCGCATTTGTGTGTATATGTTTATATATGTATATCTGTGTATGTACGTTAACTAATATTATCATATTTCTACATATATTTTTAAAGCTATCTGTACTTTCAGGTTTACCATATTGGTAAATTTCTAAAGTGTAAAAATATTTACGTTAGGAGTCACATAGAAATAACCACATAACTTTCTTTTTATCTTGTATGCAATACCCTCTGTTTTAAAGATATTTTATTTTCTTTGTAACTGTGTCTATTTTATTCTTGCTTAAGGGAGGCAGAAAGAAAGACAATGAGATTGCATGAAAGTAAGGCAAGGGTAGGGTTTCAGGCAGGGAACACCATGTGCAAATCCAGCCCCACCTTCGCAGGTCCTTCTGTCGGGTCCCAGCTCATAGCCGGGCTCACAGGAGCACTGGTAGCTGCCCAGCGTGTTCAGGCAGTGCTGCTCACAGCCGCCACGGTCAGGCTTGGCACACTCATCTTCCTCTACAAAAGGGGCAACAATTAGAGAACTATTTTGTTTTTATATACTAATGTGCAAAATTTTTTGAAAATGTGATGTTTAGTAGTTTTGAATGAAACTGAAACAATTGATTTCTTCAACAAAATAACAGGAAAAATTTGCAAACCCTTGATGGATGACATATAAGAATCCATGTCACTGCAATCTAAAAATTGTGTGAGAATCAGAAGGACTGGGCCAACTGATGATCACCTTACCTCAGACATGGCATGTGTTTTTTTCTGAATTTAAAGTTAAAGGAGATTACTAAGACGTAGAGATTACTGAAAGAACATGAATTCATCTGTTCATTTCATAGTACAGTTTGCTAGGTAGCCTGAAAAATGCTTTTAAAGAAATAACATTATTAATAAATAAATTATGGTGGCAAAAAATTAAAAAGGAAAAAAACTAAGAAAATTTCTAGACCTCTTTAAATTTAAAACATTCAGTATTTTTTATATAGAGATTTTGATTCAGAAAATACATAATTCCATATTTTATAAACATTATTTTAATTATATGTGGTAACATAAAAAATATATACAAAATGGACATGTGAAACATATATATTATTCTAAAAAAACATGTATGACAAGGTACTCCATAATCTCACTCTTTAGGAATAACCTACTCAGAAAACAGTAAAAAATATTCTCTGGAGAAACTGGATATCATCCAATACTGCCCATTTTAATAACCAAATACAAACATCACATAGTATTTTATATAGTATTTTATATCACATAGACTTATAATATGTTTCTTATACTATAAAATATAACATGTGGAGAAGATTTAAAATATGTAAATTAATATTTTAATGAATACTTTGAATACATATACCCTAAGTGCCAAGGTTCTCTGCCTTTCAACTCGAATGGTGAATAATACTCAGGGGAAATCAATTTGCTCTTTGAATAACAAAAAATGTCTAGATATTCTTCACACTTTGACATACACAAATGAATTCATCAATTATTCTTTAAAATGTATCACAGAGGAAATTTATTTTCTCTATTAAAAGAATTTTATTCTACAATAACACAGTTAACCTAAATGTCTCTGAATTTTCAAGAAGCAAATCTGATGACATTATTTACACTGAAACAGCTTTTTTTTTAACCTACAAATATACATCATGCTTGGGACATTAAAATAAAATATGATTATACAATTCAAAAAAATTAAAGATAATCAGTAATAATTCTTTGTCTTTTAAGGGATCAGAATATTCTACTAAGGAGGCCATACATTATTTGTAATGTGGTAGAATGCTACTCTCTAAGGGATAGCATAAAAGTGCTGCCACCTGGAAATAAATTGATGAAATATATGTCAATAATCCTCTTCTGGTTATAAACTCTTTGCTGATTACATTGCAAATATTTCCTCTTATCTGAATATCACTTTCTGGATTTTGCTATTTTGACTGTTTCCTAAAAAACAGACAATAGAAAATTTAATGGATTTCCTATCCTGTGCTACAAATCTCCAGATTTTAGTTTTCTTTCTTTTTTTTTTTTAACCAGTAAACTTCTCCATCAAAAACCATTAAAGTTTTGATATCTTTATGAAGACTGCATACTTCAATATTACATTACTCTATTTCTTCCCTGCCTCAAAGCTAAATACATTTACTATATAATACTACATTCATCCTTGACAAAGAGAAGCTTACATTTTAAATGATTCCAAATTACCTTTAAAAAAATTGGCAGCAAACCCTGCCTTGTTCACAGTTCCATCAGAAACAAACTTCATCCACAAGGTATTGGAGGTAGATCTGATATCTTCAGGCTTATCGTAACCACAAAAACGTCCTATCAAAGGACTACTTTCATTGGTTCCGTCTCGAACTTCTAGGTAGTCATAGGCACAATTGTCATGTCTTTCAATCTGTAATGGTAAAAATATGTGATCTATCTCATTAACAGGCAAAACAATTTCTATAAAAAGAGCATTATGTATTCTCAGTGCCATGGTACTAACTAACATGGCCATATAAAAAATTATTTATACAAAAGAGAGAATTTCTGATGAATGGTGCATGGTAATATCACACTGTCCATGAATAAAGGGTGTATTAATCTGGTAAAGACAGAGAGAGAAAATATCTATGAAAAAGTGCATCCACATCCATTAGGATCATAGAAGTTAGCTGCCTTTTAAAATGGAATAAAAATACAAGTAGTAACTCTTTGGAAAACAGAATTTTTAAAATTCCAGATTTAAAATTATCATTAGAAGGCTGGGCTAGATATCCTATAAGCAATGCATAATTTGTTCTGAAACAAGCAATAATTATAATAATTGCTCATAGCTGATCAACAAAACCATTATTTTATCAATAGGCTGAATTTTATTTTATTGACAAATGTTGCAGAGTTTCAGGTTATACATATCTTTCTGAAGGAACATGTGATAATATGAGATTACAATTCTTCTTAGTCTATGAAATCTTCTATGCATAGTTAGTATAGCTGTGAGCGAGATGACTCCACTATGGGACTAGCACTAGCTGCCCTCTCAGAGTCACAGGGCTTGGTAATGAGCCCTTTTACCCCAAACCTTTCCTTGCAGGCTGTGCATCCTGGATAATCTCTTTCCTAAACAACTAAATGCAAATATTAGCTCAGACTATTGGCCTATAAGGAGCTTCCCAGGTGGCTCAGTGTTAAAGAATCCGCCTGCCAAGCAGAAGATGCAGGTTCAGTTAATAGGTAGGGAAGATCCCCTGGAGAAGGAAATGGCAACCCACTCCAGTATTCTCGCTGGGAAATACCATGAACAGAGCCTGGTGGACTGCAGACCACGGGTCGCAGAGTCAGACACAACGTAGTGAGTAAACAGCAGCACCGCCAGCAGACCAGCACTGGCCTTTATAAAGGAGCGACGTTTGTGAACCTTTGTTTCAGCCCTAAACTACTAAAAAAGCCTACAAATGGTTTAACAAATTAGAAGACAATTTCTAAATAAATTCTTGCTTCTACATTTTTCATAGAAAATGACTAACCCTAAAATCTTAGTAGCACCAACTACTTATTGAGTATTTGAAGCTGGAAAGCACAGTCATCTATGATTAATAAACCATGAAAAGTATCACATCTTTTCAACCATCATTCAACATACATTTCACTAATTTATGGAGAATTATAGGAATTATAATTTATAAATTATAATTTATAGGAATTCTCCTATCACAAAACAAACATCAGGGAACACGTTCATTCCATAAACTACAATGTGTATGCATGAAACTGGTGGTAGAGTTGGTTGAAGAAGTAATTTCCCGATTTTTTAACACATTAACAGTGATAGTTAATGCATGTCAATGATATACATGATATACACGACTGTCTTCACATTTGGCAGCATGAGGACAAACAGAAAAAAACATATTTTGAAGCAGATTTGGTTAGAACTAAGTACTGCATTTGCTGCTTCCCTTTTCCCGATCATAAATCAGGATCATTCATTTCCCCAGTAAATGCGCAATGCCTGGCTCTGCGCTGGGCACTCTTCTCACTCGGTACGCATAGTGTGTGTGATACACTTCTCACTGCTTAGAGAGCATCATTTGTCAAAGTAACAGAGCCTTGCTCTCCTGCAAATTATCCTGGTGGGTAGAGAGCAAAGGAACAATAAACAAGGTAAATCATAATCATAAAGTATTAGAAAGTAATATATTTTATAGAAAAACACAAAGTGAAAGAAGATAGGAAGCATGAAAAGTGGGGGTGGGGTGAGTGAAAGTTGTGATTTTAAATTATACTATCAGTAGGCGCTCACTAGGATTCATAATTACAGATTTTCCCCTAAAAGTGTACCCTCTTGGTGTGTGGAATTGTGGGAAAGAATTGGAAAATATTTAACATTAAAAATGTCTCACTTTTAAAGTATACTTTTGGGACAGTAGCTATTAAATAGGAAGGTGAGGGAGAGCTAGCAGTTGCGCGAGAAGTGAATTAGTCACCAGAGGTGACAAGGCTATCTGACCAGGCATGACATATCTTCTTCTCTCAGTCTTTAACACACTCTCTTCAAAATCAGAATTCTCTATAAATATGAGGACACTTCCAGATGGTCAAAGGCTGTTCTTTAGCAAGGGGACATATAAAATCATATCGGAAATTCTCAAGGTATATAGCTTGTTAAAAGAATAAGTGAAACTGAGCAATAACAAAACTGTAGGGAAAATAACCAAAGGTCTCAGCAGGCCAACCTATCTTTCCCCACTTGAGGACACAGAATGAACTGCTTGCAACTCATGAATCATTTTGGAAATGGAGGAAAAGTTTATATCAGAAGAGGAAAGGGAGTGAGAACACAATGAAGAAAGAAGCTGCCTGCCATAGAAAGTCAATTACTAGAAAAAAATCATATTGTTTCATATTAGAAGTCCCACCAGAGGTAAAAAAAAAATAGGCTAATTTAAAAGTGTTTGGGTATTTAATTACACTATGAAGAAAATGAAATAGACAATACTGAAAACAAGTTATACTTCACCAATGATTAAAAAGAAATAGGATAATGCATATTTCCCTGTATATAAAACCCACTTTGTTCCTTTAACAGTTACACAAAAGGTCTCTAAATTTGTAGCATATTCACTAGTTATACTTAGCAAAAATTTTAAATATTTTATATGATGTGAAGTTGCTCAGTCGTGTATGACTCTTTGCGATCTGTGGATTGAGCCTACCAGGCTCCTCCATCCATGGAATTTTCCAGGCAAGAATACTGGAGTGAGTTGCCATTTCCTAATCCAGGGGATCTTCCCAACCCAGGGATGGAACCCAGGTCTCCTGCATTGCAGGCAGACTCTTTACCATCTGAGCCACCAGGGAAATTCATTTTTATATGATTTACAAAGTGTAAGTATCTCATGGGTAAAATGCATGAAAATGATCAATGTTAGGATTGATTCTACCAGTACTTATTTATGAATTACATGTTACTTACATATTAAGTATCATGCACCTGGTATCTTGGGTAAAACAATAGAAATATAAACTATAGTCTCACATAGCCAATGCCACAGTTGTTGACCCAGATAGCTCAACTGTGACCTCCATGATTTTTGTTTACGTATTTTTCTAGGCTAATTACATTAATCCTAATGCAATATCAGCACAATAAATCTATTCTATTGGTGTTAATTATAATCAATATCTCTTTAACTACATCTGCAAAGCAGTAATGATGGTGAGCACAAATGAGGATTTGAGTTATTTTACTTATGTTATTTGTATCACAGTTTCAGAGAATTATGGTGGTAGTTTAGTCACTAAATTGTGTCCTGACTCTTGTCACCCCATGTACTGTAGCCCTCCAGACTCCTCTGTCCATGGGGTTCTCCAGGCAAGAATACTGGAGCAGGTTGCCATTTCCTTCTCCAGCATAGAGAATAGATAGAAATAGATATGTTTAAAGCTAAAAAGTAGATAAGTTCATTGATGTTACATTGTATTAGGTATAACGGGAAAAAGAACACCAAAGTCAATAATTCACAAAGACAAAAAAAGAAAACGTTTCTTCTTTCTTTGAAGCATGGACAGAGTTCACAGATCTGGAATCTGAATGCAAAGTCATGCACAATTACACATGTAGCAAATGCAATGATGATACTGACCTATTATAGACTTTAATGTAGTCAGAGCACAAACCATATAGGAGTGTGGCAAGTTTATCTTAAAGTAAACAGTAACACAGTAAATATATGTATATATATAAAACAATAAAAGTGATATTAAGCTCTGAAGATTTTTTTAGAAAACTGACATATAAATGTTACTGGAAATAGATCCAAATACACAAAGAAGGAAGAACAGTACAAAGCTTAGGCAGAAGAGATGGATATTACATTTCATTACTAAGTGGAGGGCCCATGTCTTTACTGGTATGTTAGAGAAGAAGCATCGAAAAGCTAAGTTCTTTTATTTAGCAAGATCTTTCATTGGAAGGACTGATGCTGAAGCTGAAACTCCAATACTTTGGACACCTCATGCGAAGAGCTGACTCATTGGAAAAGACCCTGATGCTGGGANACAGTGGGATATTAGCCTTGAAAAGGAAGGAAATCCTCTCATGTGCTATAGCATAGATGAAACTTGAGGATATTATAGTTAATGAAATTTTAAAAAGTCACACAAAATTCAAATATTGTATGATTTCACTTACACGAATAGTCACATTCACAGAGACATAAAGCAACAGTGATTGTCCAGGGCTAGGGGGAGCATGGATGTAGAATTGCTGTTTGCTGGGTAAACAGCTGCAGTTTTGAAGCATTAAAAGAGTTCTAGAGGTTGATTACACAATGTGAATGTACTTAACACTACTGCGTCATACATATGTTATGTCTATTTTACCATAATAAGTCTTCAGTGAATGGTAGGACACAATTTCAAAATATAATGAATACTATCACTACATAAATGGTTAAACTTTTATAGTTCATCTAACTTAAAATTGTATACACTTGGAACAATTTTAAGTCATTAATGTTGCTTTAGGGGAAGATTTTAAAGAAAAGTATGACTAACAAAAACAGTCAAGATTAGCATGTATTATTAAAAATAAACTAATTTTAATAATGCAAAAAATATAGTAAAGTCATGATAAAGCTATAACAAAAGGAACTTTAAATAAAAAGGAAAAATGTTTAACAGGATGGTTATTTTAAAATATACTGTCATGTTTAATATTTTATTAATTAATATTATTTTTATTCCTACTTCTCCAAGGGATCTTCCTGACCAACACTGAAGGGTTGAACCTGGGTCCCCTGCATTGCAGGCAGATTCTTTACAGCCTGAACCATCAGGGAATCCATTATTATTACTATTTGTACTATTAAGTACTGAAGTGAAGTGAAGTGAAGTCGCTTAGTCATG